TCATCTTCTTCTTCCTCTTCCCCTACTTCTTCCTCTACTTCCTCATCATCGACCTCATCATCAATGCACTCATGGTCAGATCGGCCGTCACAAAGGCCCTGTCGGCCGAGGTATCCGTTGTTAGATCGATCGTTACAGACGCCTCTTCGGCGGAGACGTTCCCCGTCTCCACAACAGCCTCCAAGACAGCGGCCTCATTTGTCGTTGAATGGCATGATCACCGCGCCCCCTGCAGGGTTAGAGATCTGCTCCGACGACATGCTCGCAACCGTACAGAACGACATCGTCGATTTCAGTATATACGCTAGCGAGGAATAGTGCACATCGAGTCCAATGCCTGCAATGTGGCGATGATTTCTTCAGTACTGCAGGCTTACAAGTGCACCAGACACGAGGTGCAGCTACTTGTGCAGCGTTTGCATGACTAGCAGCTGCCCTGAGCACAAGTGAGGCTGATCAGCTTCCGATTCCCACATCTGATCCACCCAGTTCTCACCCACCTGACCCGCCCGTCTCTCATCCACCTAGCCCCACTCGCTCCCCTGCCCCAAATGACAATGACCCATCTCCTGATTACCTGATGGAGCCCCCGGTTGAAGATCATCTCTCTCCGGAGCACATACCGGAGCCAATTGGTAAAGACCACAACGAGTCTCCGCCACCTGTGCAACCTGCAGAATCAAATGAGGATCCCCCTGCTGTAAACAGGTCCCCCACGCAACCTGCAGAATCAGACAATGTCATAGCGCTACAGCGAGGGCACTGTGCGACAGTGTGCGTACTATGCCATTAATGTATGTCTCCTTGCTTACAATTGTAATCCTTATACTGTTGCTGATTTCGCAGACGTTGTTCGCTGGATAGAAGAAGAGCACCGTGCCGCCTCCCCAGGACGACAGCACTGCACCTAGGGTGAACATAGAAGTCCTGGCTATGGCATTTATGGGTAGGCGACTGCAATTCCAGCCTGCTCCGCAAAACCACGAGCCAGGCATGGATCCGATTATTCGGGCATATATCTTATATCGTCCAGGTCACTTCAGTGATCTTACCTTTGCACATAATTCATGGACCCTATGGGACAATGGCGGTAGGGTGCACACAGTGGGAAATATTAACTCCTTCTATCACCAAATGCTGGAGGGTCACTCAGTCTGGCTCATCCATCAGGAACAGTATGTCGATGAGCATTTGCAAGCACTGCACCCCCCGGAGAGCAATCCGGCTGATTGTACCACAAACAGTGAAAGGACCTCGCCACAGGATGATGGCTGTGCCCTCCCGTTGTGTCGTCGCACAGGTGCAGTTCGGTTGGCATGTACATGACATAGCCTCTGCTCCGAACACTACGAAGGGATGGTCGCTGCTAGCCTCTCACACAAAAATTGTGATCTCATGTCCTGTGCTCATCCCCCCCACCCCCTGATTACTTGCCCAGCATGCCGTTGTGGCCTTGATCTGCCATGCTTAAATAACTGTGCACGTCAGCCTTCCATACTAGTGACATGCCAGCAACATGCCTTGTGTCGTCAATGCTTCCAGGAAGCTGTCATAGAAAGTATGTGTCTTTACGGCATGGACTATCCCCGGTGCCATCACCCTCCACATCCTCTCCTAGCATGTCCCACATGCGGTGTTGGTCATACACCTACGGCAACCGCTGACAGATCTCCCTCTTTCTTGCCAGACGAACAACAAACACAGCAGTCCGAGGAGGAAAATAGACTTCTACATGAACCACCGGCAGAGCGATGTGCTCATGCGGATCATATCCTGCAGCAGCTGAACGCCCTTGCGTTGGACCGATCCTCCCTGTCGTCGTCTGCCCATACAGAAGGAACACAACTGAGGAAGCCCAAGAAAGATGCTGCATGCCGTTTTGTGATGACCTGCCGGAGATTCAACTAGCATGTGGTTCGCATGCCTTGTGCCATGAGAATTATGAAGGTATAGGCCATGCGAGTTTTTGCTTCCATATGTACGATGACAGTCAGTACTGCACTCATCTACGGCAACCCGACATGTCATGTCCGATTTGTAGACAGGGGCTGGAACGGCAATGCCTCTATAATTGCGGTCGACGTGCCTTTGTGTTCCTAGCATGTACGAGCCATGTAGACTGTGACATCTGTCTGCGTCGTGCCACAACTGTGACTGCGAAAATTGGATGCGGTGCTTCCATAGCCCACACCCGAACTGGTCCTGTCCGGTCTGTAGGGGTGGCCACTCGCCATAGTAGTAGTGGGGGGTGGGGGGGGGGTTCCACATATTTCTTTCCTTCCCGTTGCCCCTACCTCCCCTGCCCCATACTCCTAGAGAACTCCGCCTTCTATCCCTACCCTCCACCCTCCCCTCCACTCCCTTTGTACTACTAACAAAAACATATGAATGAGCATCATTAAGAGAATAGACGATATGAAGATCAGAAATGGAATGAACGGAAGTATGAAGATGAAGGACGGACACAAGACTGTATGAGCTGAAGATCTGAAGTGAAATGAACAGGAGTATGAAGCTCTGAAGAGATGCACAGGAGCATACCTTCCCTTTTACTCTGCCTCCTAAAATAACGTGCAAGTGGGCCGTGAAGGCACACGGGGATGTGGGCAGCTGCCGCTCAACCGCAATCAACGTGGGCAGCCTTGTGCGTAAGAGGCACAGCAAAAGGGGAGCTGCAAAAACAATGAAAGGGGTACCCGAAGGACAACCAAAAAACTGACTAATTGGACATCTCAAATGCTCTCGTTGTCTGCAATAGGACAAAGACTGCTTTGATTCTGAATCTATTCACCTGGGTGGAATTGGGGCTGTTGTGGGGAAAATCTAAAACGCACACACACATACAGGGTCAGGTGATCTGAATGGGGATGGAGACTGTGCCCTCCTCCCATTGTGTCATCGCACAGGTACGGTTTGATTAGCATGCACACGGCATAGCCGCTGCTCCGAACACTATGAAGGGAAGGTCACTGCCAGCCTCTGCCACGAAAACTGCGATCCTTTTGTCTTGTGCTCATTCCCCCCACCCCCTGATTACTTGCGCCGCATGCCTTTGTGACCTTGATCTGCCATGCTTAAATAATTGCGTACATCAGCCTTCTTTGCTGATGACATGTCAGCAACATGCCATGTGTCGTCAATGCTTTCAGGAAGCTGTCATAGAAAGTATGTGTCGCTATTGTG